GAAGTGTTAATTTCAGTAACACCCTTTTAGGTTTGGTCAAATATCAAATTAAAACAATTTTTGAAAATAACTATTACTCACACCCCAAATTATTTTTCCGTCTCTAACATCCTTAAAAAGATGTGAATATTTATACCCTCATTTCTTTATTATATATCTTAATCCTAATATATTAGAAACTTGAAAGGTCTAAATTGACCTTCTCACTCCCTCACACACACTGAACTTTACCCATGAAAAACAAGTGACAACTAATTTGCAGTATCTACCCCTGCCTTGGCTCCACCAAGTGTAATATATATAGCATTTTTTTATAGTAATTTTACATATATATGTGAGAAAATCTATATAATATCCCTCTAAAATTTTTATTTCCAAAATTTTTCTTTTGTTTTTTTTTTTCCTTCCCTAAATTTTTCTTTTGATTTAATAAAATAATTAAAATCTCAAAATGGGTGGACCCATTAAATGTCTCTTGAAAGTCATTCAATTTTGGACTTAGTCAAAACAAAACTTTTAAAAGGAAAGGGCAAATTGGGACATGTATCTTTTGCCTGTCTAATAAAGTAGTATAATAAATTTTGTTGTCTTAAAAAGTGTGAAGTGTAGAATTGGACCATTATGACGGGGCACAGATGATAACATAATAATATGGTAGTCCACACCATATCTTTTATTATTATAACTTTTTAAGAAAATATATAACTAATATAAAAATGACAATTAATATGGAAAAGTAGGGCTATAAATACATGTATGATTGTCAAAATATTACGTACTCATCTTCCCTTCTCGACCCAGGTAGAAAAGAAGAGAAGTCAAAATGGCGAGTCATGAGAGCTGTATCCCTCTCCTGATGGTTTCTCTTTTTCTTTTCAGTCAATACTTCGTCTCAGCTGACATGTCCTTAATAAGAGCCATTTGCAAAACCACCCCGTATTCCAATGTTTGCTTTTCAGTTTTAGCATCAGACCCTCGAAGCATCACCGCTAGTGACAAAACCAGCCTAGCGAGGATTGCCATGCAAATCACAGCAGCAAAGTGCCATGACATTTCTTTATACGCTAGCCAACTGCTTCGTAACGCAACTGACCCTGGTTACAAGCAAGACCTGGAGGACTGTAGAGATAGTTATGACCAAGTTGAGTTTGGCATAACCCAAGACGGTCTGCCAAAATTTGATCAGGGGAGATATGGAGACGCGGGGAGAGACACTCAAGATGCTGCTATTGCGTCTGAAACCTGCGACGAACACGGCATAAAAGCCTTGGAGCGGATGAATACTCTCATCAGTGACTTCTCTATTGATGCAAAGACGATTGTAAATAGCTTGTCCAAGTCATGATCATCAAATCATATACTATTATTATTATTATGCCGAATAAATTAATAAACATGATTTATTGACAAAACTACTGTGTTTGCTTTTACTCCTAAAATTTTGTCAACAATATATTTTCAAGGAAAATGATATAAAAATATGTTTTTGCTAGTCTATACAGTAGACTTGATGTGACAAAAACTCTATCTATTAAGGTAATTATAAAAACTGCCGTACTCATTTTCGAATCACACCTTCATTATTCATATTTGCTAGTTTTGTGTATGGTGTATGTGCAGCATGTGGTTCAATCATTGGCAAGTCAAACTTTAAAACTTGTTTGAAAAAACATGGAAATTCCGAGAAGAAAGACTTTATTCTTGACTAAAAATTCTTGTTATTTACTGAAATTGCACCAAAAAAATATATAAAAATAAAAAATAAAATAAAATAAAAAAGAAAAATCAACTATTTGTTGTAGCATTACTTAACTTGCCCTCTTGCATGCTTCAGTTTGGACTTTGAAGTTATCCCTAAATTGTTTGTTAACGGGTCTGTCTGTTTTCTAGCCTATGGGTTGCACGGTCTCTTTTTCATTTTCATTTTTATTTTTATTTTTTTCAATTTTTTCAGATTTCAAACCTACTTGGTTAAGAGAATTTACAAAACAGTTTTCGGAAAACAAAAACTCATAAAACTACTTGGTTATATGAATTTTTGAAAATAGGTTTGTAATATTTGTTATATTAATCCAGTTAACATGACGCATAAAAATGAATTGAATTCTGCCTTAGGTAAAAACACAGCAGAAACTAGGTGTTATCCCAAATTTTATTCAATCCAAGATTTTGAGTAACAATTTAATTGACAGGTAGTGATTATTTCTATTTGAATCTATGTATGGAATTTGTAGTTCTCTGTCAATATGAAACATCTCATTCATAGCATCCAAGGATGAAGCATGATCATGGAGACAAGATTGGACACGATAAGCTACAAATAAAGTGAGATAATTTTTATTTTTCATTTTTGAAAAATAGGATACACATACAGTTTACAACAAGGAACATGGAAATATATGTGTATAATTGTGTGTGTGTTGAATTAACTCAGATATGTACACTACAAAATATATATATATATAGGTATAAATTAAAAAGAAAAATACTTTGTATGATATGCATATTACTACCATTTTCTTGTTAGAATAAATTAAAAAGAAAAACACTAGTTTTGCAAAGAAGATTAAGCCTTTACATAGTTAAGTCATTGACAAGTGATCACAATAAAAGCAACACCCTAGGTTGTAATTTAGAATTTTTGTTTTGATATACTTTATGAAAAACATGAAGAAACACTTGGCTGTGCATTTTATAATTTTTTAAACATTGATAACTTTCAATATGTTTGCAATTCATTTATTTATTTTCAAATCACATCCTTGAAGCACTACCTCAGCATTCAATTGGTTATGATTAGATAAAAATAATCTGCTAATATACGAAAGTTTTTCTGCTGTGCATAATTGTTTATCTTCAAGCAACTTTTCAGTGAAAAAATGTTCGAGTATGTTTGAGACCTGCCTAAATTTTGTTTCTTCTAGAGAATGCCAGGTCGGAGGAGTAGAAAAGCCATTACTGTCCTTTCTACCCCTGCCTGCTAGGACACATTTATGGGGTTGGACTCTTGGATATTATATTTACTGGATTCTATCAAGGATAATATCATGTGAAACTTTCTAAGCTAACTAAGCCTGATTAATATCTAATGTTACAGTTATATCTAGTACCCTTTATGAAGTGTGTATTGTCAATGACTTTAAATCCAAACGCATGGTCAAGGCACAATTTGCCATGAGTACCCTTTGGGATTTTTGTTGTTTTCTTCAACTAATTCATTTTTCATCTGAAGTTTTTCTTTCTTGTTATATTCTTTTTAACATTTTGTACAGATGGTTAACTAATAACTTAACTTGCTCCAACCTCTGGCCTTGGGATTCAGCTCTTCCAACTCAATATGAGTAAAATTGTCCATAACTTTGAGATTTGCACAAGTCACACCTCTGGATTCCCTTTGACTAGTGAGCCCGAGATTTGTGTAATTCAATATTCAAATTCTTCTGTTCAATTTTATGAGAATTTATATGATTTTTTATTTTCTTGTTTTTTGAAAATTTCATCTACTGCAAGACTTGATGCCGTGTTGCATGCGGATAGGTCTTGAGCAGTTATTTTTAAATGGAGGATAATTTATTTAGATTTTGTTCTTACTGATCGTTGGTACTTGTTTTTGGTTTTTAGCTCCCCTCAAGCGCATGAGCAGTTGGTGTTTTGATGAGAAACTTTTCTTACAGTCACTTTACAAGGTATTATGACCATGAATGGGTTGGTTGCTTTAAAACGTATAAAACTATTACTTATGCATAGCCATGTTTATATGATTTCTTCACTCGATTTGGTTCATTATGCAGCATTAGCTATCTGGGAATGTACTGACTGGCATGGTTTGTTATTTCACTTGCAGGTTTTGGTTTCAGTCTCTGAAAGCAGTTCCATCATTCTTTACCTCGTTTCATACAAAATTTGCACAATGCTGTATTTAAAATCTCCATTAATTTAAGCCCATTAACATTCGGTTGGATAGAGAAAGAGAAGTCCACCAACATTCGGATGGATACAGCCTATTAAATACAAGGATAGAGCAGGGAATAGGAGAAATTTTGGACTTATTTTGTGATATTTGTTAAATTGGGCTTTTAAATTCTGTAAATTTTGATTGCACTGAAGAAGAAGATGTACCAACACTTTCTACAAAGAAAAAGAAGGTTCAGTATTCTAAAGACCACAAATCTCTAAACCCTAAACAGATCAAAAACCCAAATCACTAAACTAAAAACCACAAATCCCTAAATTAAAAATCAAATTCACAACAAAAAGCACCCAACCAACAAAATCCATAATCAAATCTACAACCAAACTCATCCAAAAAACAAAATCCATAAGCAAAAACTTGCTACAGAAAAATACAGATTTGTGTTTACCTGAAAAGATGGAGCTTGAAAAAAATCTAAGCAAGAGTCTGGATGCAGAGGAGAGAAGAGCTGGAAAGTTCTGGTTTCAATTGGAATTGGAGTTTGGTTAATAACAATGGGCTGGTCTCATCGGATTTCAAGATTGATGTTTAAGCAGGCCTTTGAATTACTCTGTTGCTGAAGTTTTTCTCAGATATTTTCAATGCTGTGGATGTTTCTGGTTTGAGAGAGATTGTTGCAGAGATGCAAGCTTTAATGGACTTCAAGATCAAAAATTTTTAGAGCAGGATTTTTTAGTTCTGGTTTGTTTTGTTTTTGTTTCTTCTGGTTCACTCTAGTCTAGCTCGGGTTTCCTTTGCTGGTTTGAAAATGACATAGTCCATTACTTGCTTTGTACCGGAGGATGTCCTCCATGTTTGTAATTGTACTATTCTGATTTATATATAAAACAAAAATCCCATTCAGGAAAGAAAAGAAAAGAAATTCAGCAACAAGAAGAAGCTTATATTTGTGATGGAGGATGACGAATTGAAACAAAATTAAATCAACAAGGAACCAAATGTTCAGCACATGACATTAAGGGAATCAAGGCTTAAAATTATTCAAGAAATAGCAAAACAAATAACCTATTTCTCTAACTGAATCAAGCTAAGTGTCAGTTGAGTGGGACCCATATCTAATTACAGTATACATTAAAGATTCTGCTTCAGAACGACGATAAGTGCACAGAGTGCATGTCGAAAATTCACTGTTCGCTATACCCCTTGATTCAGCTGTAACAATAATGGGCAATCCTTCATTCTCTGGATTTCTCCCGTATATGTTGCAATTCTGGAACATGATGCCTGCGTCACCAAAGATGAAGTCTAGGGTTCCAAAGATGTTGCATTTGTAGAAAAATTTCCTGCCGGAAATCATAAACAAAGTGTCCTGGTATCCTTTGAAACTACACCTATAGAATGCATGATTTAAGCCTACACTTCTCACAGCAACTGCCTGTCCGGCATTGACTCCGGCGGAATTCACAAAGCTGATGTCTTTTGCAACAAAATGTTGTGCTTCTATATCTGCATGTACACATTAATAGACACACGTCTTGCTTCTATATCTGCATGTACACAATATACACACGTCATGAGGTGCTTCATAAGCCTTAGTTTTGGGGTTCGAGTCCCGATAGGTGTTCTTGGTGACTAGTCTCCGCTTGCTGAGGGTCCCTAAGGATTCGTGCATTCTCGAATACCCGAGTTACCCAAAAATAAAATACTAAAAAAAAAAAATAGTGTAGTATATGTTCTTATCAGTTTAATATCTGATTCGTGGATCAATGGCGCACGCATTTATAAAGAAAGAGAGATGGGATAGTGATCACATACTGACAGTGGCCGATTCGTCTGTCCCAATACCAGTGGAAGTACTCTTATTGAACTGTATTATGGTGTGGTCAATTCCATCTCCCAAGAACACGACACTGTTCTTATGCATACCCACATCTACTGCTTCGTTGTAAATTCCCCGCTTGATGTGAATGATGTATGTGGCCGAAGCTGAATTAGGTATTGCAGAAACGGCTTTTGAGATGCTGCGATAGTCTCCACTCCCATCCTTTGACACCACAGATGTGGTTTTATACCCTGAAATGGAAATGGGAATGGCAAGAAACAAAATGAGACAAAGTAAACTACCGGCCATGTTGGTGGTGGAAAGCGGTGGCGACAGTGACGGAGGTGGTGGAAGGCAACAGCAGAGTTGGGAGTGATGGAAGGGAGTGATGGTAGAGAAGGTGGTGGAAGTGAAGTGATGGTTTACTGCTTTAAAACAAATAAGAAAAAAATTTCTGCTTTAAAATAAATATGTAATTTCCATATTACTACTCTGATTTTCTTCCTTATTTGTTTTCTCTTTCTTTTCTTTTTTTCGTTTTTTTTTTCTACCTCGAAACAAGGGTCCAGCTAACCCCAAAAATTAAATGTGGTACAAAGAGAGTATAATACTAAAGATGTTAAAAAGTTATAATGTTAAGGATGGAACACTTAATGTGTGGTACAAAGAGAGTTTAAAAGTAAATTAGCAGTAAAAATAATAACTAAATTAGCTGTAAATATTTGTTATTTCTTAATGAGATTAAGGTACCAAGTGTTACATCCTTATTAGTCCATCATTTTTGTTTGTATTTTCCAAATTAATATAATTGAAAAGTCAAAACAAAATAAATGTTATAGTTTTGTAATTAGTCTTAACTTTTCAAAAAGAATTAGCATCATGAATGCAATTTAATATTCGTATTTTGAATTATTGTTTAAGTGACGTGGCTACGTCCTAATTAAAAGGACACATATGCATTGAAAAACCAAAAACAAAAATTGTAAAAACTCAAATACGGACCACAAAGTCTAGAGGCAGTTATTCATTTCATTTTGGGTAAATTTGTGTATTTAATTCTAAAAATTTTGGATTTTTCTTTTCTTATTATTATTTTTTTTTCAGACCCACTGCGGCTCCTCTGTTTTGTCAGGGTACTTTTGTCTTTTCATTTTTTCGAACAAGTCTCTTGCTGGGTTGTCTTTAATTACACTAAATTTATAGTTTTTTTTTTTTTTTTTTTTTTTTTAGTTAAAGAAATTTGTTGCAAATAGTCAATAATTTAGAGGGTTTTTTTTGACACTTTACCCAAAAGTGGGTATTGCACGGGTCACAGTTAAATAGTTTTGACTCATGTGGCCCACTATTTTCTAGTCATAGGATTGAGAATAGGGTGATACAGCTAGCAGAGTGAGCACAAACGAAGATAAAGAGTCAGGACTTATAGCAGGGAAGAAGAATGAATAGGTGAACAACTTATTGGGTCGCACTAAACTGAAAGAGACTTTTAACCCCCCATATTTCACTCTAATATATGTTTCGCTACATGCCAAGTGTAACGGGTGGGCGCTTGCCCATTTACCCAAAAGCTCGAACTGTTAGGTAAGGCTGCATACCCACCCATTTATACCCAATCTCTTTTCCATCCAATTCCGATGTGGGACAAAATGACCCTTGTTACATTCTCCCCCACCCAAACTCGCAACGCCCTCGTTGCGGTTGGGCCACCCTGCCTACCCGGGATGACTCACCCGGATGCCTTCCGGGCCGGGCGCTTGGCGTGGCACCGGATCAAGGACTGGGTCTGGCTCTGACACCAACTGTAACGGGTGGGCGCTTGCCCATTTACCCAAAAGCTCGAACTGTTAGGTAAGGCTGCATACCCACCCATTTATACCCAATCTCTTTCCCATCCGATTCCGATGTGGGACAAAATGACCCTTGTTACACCAAGCCACTTTGTAAATCTATATTTGGACATGGACCGCATGGTGTTCAATTTTTATGCAAACAAATTGATGTATGTCCATTATGTTTTGGAGGCCACCAATATAAACTTGACTTCTTTTTTTTTTTTTTTGTCAATAAATAACTATGATGATTGTTAATAAATTGAATTAATTTTATCGATGCTTTTTAAGTTTGGTCAATTATCACATTAAAAAACTTTTTTAAAATTATTATCACTCACATTATAAATTTTTGGTGTATTTTTCACTCACATTCTAAAAATTAATTTTCAGTTGTGTAAAACCAATTTTTACTTGTAAAAAGATATTATTATCCCATTTAACTTTGGCTTGTCTTACTAAAAGGTTGTTTGATGTTTAAGAAGACATTTCTACGTACCCCTCTCTTTCACCTTTTCCTATTGCCTCTGTTTTTACATAAAATAATGGACAAAATCAATTGACTAACAAAATGCATACCAAACATGTCGTAAGTAAGTATTTCCATAAACAAAGTGATTTGGGACTTGAGTGGGTATAACATTAGTCCCACTCGAAAATTTTACACGGATATACGGTTTTTTTCTGTAAAATTAAATGATTTATAGTATTATAGAAAATAACCCAATTTTAACACGCTTCCTTTAAAGTAAAAAATTAGAATAATTGACTTTTTTTTTTTAAGAAACAAAATAATAAAAATTTAAGATATTTAGTTCTTTCTAAATTATAATATGAATTAATATTATTAAATCTCACAATTTTAAATAAGCCAAAGTCCCAAAAAAAAAAAAAAAAATAGGTCCCAAAAAAATCCTACTTTGTGGCATATACCAGGAATAGAACCAGAACTTTTTTGTGAGATGGAGAGGGAGCAACCTTTAACGAAAAATGTTGAGGGGAAATTCAAAATTTTGTAAGTATATAATTTTAAAATGGATGCAAATTATATACTTTAACATTTTCTTTTTGTAATGTTTATATATTAGTAGGTTTATTAAAATTTGGAACAGAAGAGGATTCCCAAAAACTTGTGAAACCTACGTTATTTGGCGTAGTCATAGAGGGACAAGTGGAGGCAACTGCCCCAACTTAACTTTTAATGTTTTTAAATTTTATATGGAAATATTTTTATATTTGTATAATTGCTCCCTCTAAAATTTGATATATATATATATATATATATATATATATATATATATATATATATATATATATATATAATTTGATTATTATTTGATATTATAATTTTAATTAAAAAAATTATTAATTATTACTATCAAAATTATTTTAGGGGTTGTTATTCTTTCAAAATTTAGTTTGTGTAATTGTGTTACTAATTATTATTCTTTAAATATGACTTTGAATTTGTTTTTATTTGCAACCCAAATGAATGAAATAACATATTCACTCCTATTATGAATTTTTATTTTTATTTTTTTTACATGTGTGATATATTAAAAATCTTAAGTAACTGTGTTATTTTTTTTTTCATATTTTATTCTTGATTCATTGAATAAGATTTTTTTTAAGTATATTTAAATGAATGAACTCAATTTTGAAACAGCGTTGAATATTCTGAAAAAATCGTTAGAAATGTACTAAATAGAAATATAATGAATCAATATTATAATTTTTATATATATTGTTTTGATTCAAATTATATATTTATATATATATATATAGATATATATATATATATATATATATATTATTGCCATTGAAGATTGCCCCATAGAAGGAAATTCTTCCTTGCTACGCCACTGGTACAGGCTTGTTGAAATGAGATGGGTTTATCGAAACCAGTTTGGTAGAACATTTACTTCATATCATCCTTGGAACACTGGTGAATCCAAACATACACATAAACAACGTATACATGGGCTCAAATCCCCTGCTGTGAGTTACCCTGCAGTCCCCTGCTGTGAGTTGATGAAAGGCCTTAGTTTGGCCACGTGTGCTTCAGTTTGTAATATGTCTGTGGGCTCCACTAAAATGGTGCAAAACGCATTATTCCGTTAAATCTGCCTTCCGTTAAACATCCATCTCTCGGCATCTCTGAAAAAGCCCAAAAGAGCCGTCTCTACAAATTAATTGAGCCGTCTCCAAAAAAATTGGGTTGAGCCGTCTCCACATTTCTTTTTGAGCCGGCTGTCCATTAATTTTTTTTTCTTTTATTTTTATTTTTTTTTGCTTGGCAAGGAGCCGACTCTAAAAATTCTGAGAGCTGGCTCCATATTTATTATGAGCCGGCTCAACAACTTAGAGCCGGCTCCATTGAACTTCAAGAGCCGGCTCCATTAAATCCCAATTGCTGTTAAATTTAGGTGTGAAATTAGTTTGGCAAAGGTGTGAAATTAGTTTGTTAGAACTGTGTGAATAGTTTATTTTGATGGTGAAGGTGATCAGTGTCCCTACTTATTAAACTTCACAATGTATTTTTTCTCATAAATATGACATAATAACATGTGAAATGTGTAATTGCCGCATATAAGAGAAAACAAAATATTTGGATAACACATTGGTATCTAATGAAGCCAACTCAGTTAAAAAAAAAAAAACAAATATGGAAGATTTTACATTCATTAGAATGGTTATTGAAGATTATAGAAGAAAATCCTACAATTAACCAAGATTTCAAATACGCTAGAATGCTTAACTAATGTCAATTTCAAGTAAAAAAAATCATAATTTACACTAACGGATGACAAATGATCGAAAGAATTAAAAAATGTTAAATTTAGGTGTGAAATTAGTTTTGCAGAGGTGTGAAATTAGTTTTACAGAACTGTGTAAATAACTTATTTTGATGGTGAAGGTGATCAGTGTCCCTACTTATTAAACTTCACAATGTATTTTTTCTCATAAATGTGACATAATAACCTGTGAAATGTGTAATTGCCGCATACATAAGAAGACAAAATATTTGGATAACACATTGGTATCTAATGAAGCCAACTCAGTTAAAAAAAAAAACAATTATGGAAGATTTTACATTCACTAGAATGGTTATTGAAGATTATAGAAGAAAATCCTATAATTATTCAAGATTTCAAATACGCTAGAATGCTTAACCAATGCCAATTTCAAGTAAAAAGAATCATAATTTACACTAACGGATGACAAATGAAAGAATTAAAAAATGTTAAATTTAGGTGTGAAATTAGTTTTGCAGAGGTGTGAAATTAGTTTTATAGAACTGTGTGAATATCTTATTTTGATGGTGAAGGTGATCAGTGTCCCTACTTATTAAACTTCACAATGTATTTTTTCTCATAAATGTGACATAATAACCTGTGAAATGTGTAATTGCCGCATACATGAGAAGACAAAATATTTGGATAACACATTGGTATCTAATGAAGCCAACTCAGTTAAAAAAAAAACAATTATGGAAGATTTTACATTCACTACAATGGTTATTGAAGATTATAGAAGAAAATCCTACAAATAACCAAGATTTCAAATACGCTGGAATGCTTAACTAATGTCAATTTCAAGAAAAAAAAATTCATAATTTACACTAACGGATGACAAATGAAAGAATTAAAAAATATTAAATTTAGGTGTGAAATTAGTTTTGCAAAGCTGTGTAAATAGTTTATTTTGATGGTGAAGGTGATCAGTGTCCCTACTTGTTAAACTTCACAATGTATTTTTTCTCAGAAATGTGACATAATAACCTGTGAAATGTGTAATTGCCGCATACATGAGAAGACAAAATATTTGGATAACACATTGGTACCTAATGAAGCCAACTCAATTAAAAAAAAAACAATTATGCAAGATTTTACATTCACTAGAATGGTTATTGAAGATTATAGAAGAAAATCCTACAATTATCGAAGATTTTAAATACGCTAGAATGCTTAACCAATGTCAATTTCAAGTAAAAAAAAATCATAATTTACACTAACAGATGACAAATGAAAGAATTAAAAAATGTTAAATTTAGGTGTGAAATTAGTTTCGCAGAGGTGTGAAATTAGTTTTACAGAACTGTGTGAATAGCTTATTTTGATGGTGAAGGTGATCAGTGTCCTTACTTATTAAACTTCACAATATTTTTTTCCTCATAAATATCACATAATAACCTGTGAAATGCGTAATTGCCGCATACATGAGAAGACAAAATATTTGGATAACACATTGGTACCTAATGAAGCCAACTCAGTTAAAAAAAATAATTATGGAAGATTTTACATTCACTAGAATGGTTATTGAAGATTATAGAAGAAAATCTTACAATTATCCAATATTTCAAATACACTATAATGCTTAACCAATGTCAATTTCAAGTAAATAAATATTATAATTTACACTAACGGAGGACAAATGAAAGAATTAAAAATTGTTAAATTTAGGTGTGAAATTAGTTTTGCAGAGGTGTGAAATTAGTTTTGTAGAACTGTGTGAATAGCTTATTTTTATGGTGAATGTGATCAGTGTCCTTACTTATTAAACTTCACAATGTATTTTTTTCTCAGAAATGTGACATAATAACCTGTGAAATGTGTAATTGCCGCATACATGAGAAGACAAAATATTTGGATAACACATTGGTACGTAATGAAGCCAACTCAGTTAAAAAAAAAAAAAAAAAAAAACAATTACGGAAGATTTTACATTCACTAGAATGGTTATTGAAGATTATTGAAGAAAATCTTACAATTACGCTAGATTTCAAATACGCTAGAATACTTAACCAATGTCAATTTCAAGTAAAAAAAAAAATCATAATTTACACTAACGGATGACAAATGAAAGAATTAAAAAATGTTAAATTTAGGTGTGATATTAGTTTTGCAGAGGTGTGAAATTGGTTTAGTAGAACTGTGTAGATAGCTTATTTTGATGGTGAAGGTAATCAATGTCCCTACTTATTAAACTTCACAATGTATTTTTTCTCATAAATGTCATATAATAACCTGTGAAATATGTAATTGCCGCATACATGAGAAGAAAAAATATTTGGATAACAAATTGGTACCTAATGAAGCCAACTCAGTTAAAAAAAACAATTATATAAGATTTTACATTAACTAGAATGGTTATTGAAGATTATAAAAAAAAATCCTACAATTATCCAACATTTCAAATATGCTAGAATGCTTAACCAATGTCAATTTCAAGTAGAAAAATATCATAATTTACACTAACAGATGACAAATAAAAGAATTAAAAAATGTTAAATTTAGGTGTCAAATTAGTTTTACAGAGGTGTGAAATTAGTTTTACAGAACTGTGTCAATAGCTTATTTTGATGGTGAAGGTGATCAGAGTTCCTGTGATCAGAATTTTTAGAGCTGGCTCCTTGCCAAGCCAAAAAAAATAAAAATAAAAGAAAAAAAAAATAATGGACAGCCGGCTCAAGAAGAAATGTGGAGACGGCTCAATCCAATTTTTTGGAGACGGCTCAATTAATTTGTAGAGCCGGCTCTTTTGGGCTTTTTCAGAGATGCCGAGAGATGGATGTTTAACGGAAGGCAGATTTAACGGAATAATGCGTTTTGCACCATTTTAGTGGAGCCCACAGACATATTACAAACTGAAGCGCACGTGGCCAAACTAAGGCCTTTCATCAGCTCACAGCAGGGGACTGCAGGGTAACTCACAGCAGAGGATTTGAGCCCCACATGTAAAAGAATTCAGATTTAATGCGAAGTTATAAGCCGAATCTCCGGTATTAATTCTAAAACTCTTTCAATTACCAATAAACATGATTAATCAACTTATTAATTTAATCACATTTATTATTATTATTATTATTTTTTCTTTCTAATTTAACCACCAAAGAGAGTATCATTCACAGTCACATAAGTGACACGGTTCCAACTTTAATTGGTTGAAAATTTAATTACAAAAGTTGTAATTAATTCTATTGTACTTATACATTTTATTTATGCTCATCGACAATGGTTTCTCACTGTTTTTCTCAATTTTCTTTTTCTCAATTCTTTACTTTTCTTTGTTCACACAAACACACATATATTTATATATAATACCTAACCATATAATGAATAGATTAGAAAATTTTACATATTAACTAAAACTCAAATTTTATAATATTACTTTAATTAAAACTCAATCTCATAATAATATTTCAATTAAATTACATAAAACCCAATAAAAAAATGAACATATATATATACAAGACAATTGAACCCAAAAAAAAAATTAGAGTAAAGAATGAAGTGTAGCTATATATATCCAGGAAAGAAAAAAATAATAATAATAAAGTTGAATATAGATACAAAAGAAAGAAGGTTATTAGGTATACAAACGGTACCGATTGCTAAACCAAGTTCAACAAGAAGATGATGATAACATGGCAAAATGAAAGATCCTTAGATATTCAGTACGATCATATAATATAAATCCACCAAGAAAAAGCGTCATGTAGTATGATTACAATGCTTAATTATTTTACTTCGTATACAACAGAAAATAATACAACAATTATTAAAATACAATATACAAAAACATGACAAACCATGTCAGTCCTACTTAATTAATAAGTTAAAACTTGTGAACATCATATGCCTGTTCAATTTACTTGCTTTTCTAACAATTTAGGGAGGGAGAAAATAAGGATAAACAAACCAAATGCAAGCATCAGCAGCAGCAATCTTGAACTAAATATAGAAAGATAATACTGCAAACCCATCATTTTTCAATCAACATTTCTACTTACATATTCAAGCTGTTAGGAATCAAACTACCACAATCATATGTATCAGACAACATGTCCGTTCTTTGTCAGTCAGTCCAACAGCCGAGCATAAACCAGAATTAACAAAAACTTGCACCAATATCCAAAACACCTACAACTCTCCATATCCCTACTTCATTTCTTACACACACCTGAACAATAACCACCGCAAACAAAACCAGCATGCTCACACTGCCAGAAAAAAATATAGTAATATTTACCATGTTACCAGATTATGCAGTCAATGCAGCAGGTGTATTCGATCTCTTTCCTTCCATAGCATCTTTCTTTTTACGACAGGTTGTGCACAGGAAGGGGCCTTCCCATGGATTTGATGCAGGTGAGAAAAAGGGCCCAGAGTTAACAGATAAACCATCACTTGGTGGTTGATCCACTTGGCAAACTGCGCATCTGAAAATCCCAGTGTTTGAGTTCAAAGGAATATCCTTACCCAGCCTGCAGTTTTACAAAGTATGAAGTGAAGCTTGGGGCAACAGCAAAAGAAGAGAGAGAGACAGAGAATTCAAAAGTTCATTTTCTCATTGGGCTACAGAGTTGCATCATCTAGGTCAACTTATCACAAAGTCGATTTTAATTGGCATAACAAATAATTACAAATCCAAGGCAATATGAGAACAGGACAATTGGAAGCAAATGTGTACTTAAAGGGCCAATCAAATCCTGACATAATAATAATAATAACAGCTGAAAGAATTTCTCAATTTTCTATAGCAATTGTGCGCGAGTTTCATCTCTAATAAAGAACTACTAACTGATAATGGAGGGAACGTCCCCATTATTTTCACAAGGAATAGTCAAAACATTTTTGAAATAAAATTCCCCAACCCAGAGGATTGGAATACAACTGCATTCAATACAAGTATTTGTCATTTGATAAAAATGTATTCAATATAAGAATTTGACATTTGATTTCTGTGACTAAATAAATAAAAACATTTTAAATTTTCATTGTCTTTAGGTTTCGAGCCACTGCTCTCAGAATACAGATGACATTGATACAACATCTTCAAACACAATTCTACGTGCTGCATCTTTCATCAGTGTGATGAACATAAAAACTTTCAAAGCTTCCCCAAATCCAAAAAATATTAAACCTTGTTAATTACCCCCACATAGTTAGGATGAGGGACTACTTTTTGTGTCATTCAACTATCTCCTTGTCAACAAAGGCTACATAACAGCATCAGTCCATCGCAAACTGTCTATTTTAAGAACCGATTCCTGGTATCCCCATTGACATCAAAGGTCATTATCTTTAATGAATCCAAGATGAATTAATAAGGCTGAGTATAAATGATTCTGCTCCATTGACAAATATAATCTACGTTGTACTGACAAGAGGATAGAATTTTTGTCATCTTTACCGGTAGGCCTGGATCAGTTGAATTTAGTAGAAACGTATCATCCAGAGAGAAATCTGATGCCGTTTATAGACATTTGCCGTGGAAGAGATCAAGAAAGGCATCTGCCGTATGGAGATGTATTGATGTCTTTCCTCTATAGATAAAATTTCAAGACTAAGCTCCTACTCTTGAGGTTTCACCAGTTTTTGAGAATCGTTGAGATATCATGATGGAAGATGTTATAAGAGTAGGAGCTTAGTCTTGAAATTTTATCTATATGAGGGACTACTTTTTGTATCATTCAACTATATCCTTATCATCCAACTATCTCCTTATCAACAAAGGCTACATAACAGCATCAGTCCATCACAAACTGTCTATTTTAAGAACCAATTCCTGGTACCCCCATTGACATCAAAGGTCATTATCTAAATGAATCCAAGATGAATTAATAAGGCTGAGTATAAATGATTCTGCTCCATTAATAAGGCTGAGTATACACCATATTGTGTTCCTTTTTCTTTTGGATTAATGGACGAATTTGTAAATCTTCTGAGGAATTTGTTGATTTTGTAGATAGCTTGAGAGGATAATTGGCCCTCTTGGCCTTATCTATTCCTCCTTGTGAGTGCTCCCCTCTTGAGTCCCTTAATGAAACATTACTTCTTATTTATGCGTGTGTGTGTGTGTGTGTATATATATCACAAAACTAGTGCTATGACATCGTCCTTTGAAGAGTTTTATATACTAAGGTTTCCCAAGCAAACACATACCGAAAAAATTAAAGAAAGAAAAAATTTATCTAATTTACGCTTAAAATGACATACATAATATGATTACAACTAGTTAGTGTGGTAATATCACGAAACTAGGTTGTGCAATCATCCCTTCAAAATTTCAGTCTTTTAATGATTTTCCAGTGACACGAGAGAAAAAATGTAATCCAAGTTAACCTCGAAATGACAATATAATATCGTGACTCCCTATTCAACCATGGATCCCCCTTGCAGTTAGTTTATCATATGGCCCTAGTGTACTAAATCATGGAGAATGTTAATATATATATATAAAAACTTTGACGAAACAGGATTGATGTAACTGATTCCATATAGTTGGGAAACTATTTCATTAAGTCGAGTCTATCAACTGACAAAGTCACTTTTAGTTGACAATAACATGTGATGACTAATTCTAGCTATGTGAAAACACTAAATTAAAAGATGGGAGAAAATGAGAACATTCACAGCTACTAATTCTGATTGAATTACTATCACAATTTCGGAAGTACCTTAAAGCTTTAAAGACATGGAAACTAAAATTATTGTTTACACAAACAATTTTTTCATCAACGGAACTTAGTTGCCAAAAGATATCCAAAACTGGCACAAATACAAGTGAACAGCAAACAATGCACACAATAGTACCTAAGATGACCAGTAACCAAAACTTAACCAAGAAAAAAAAAAAAAAAAAAAAAAAAAAAAAACAGACCAATAATCAAACAATTAAGCCAAAAAAAAATCATTGAACTATATGAATTCTTCACACTTGTAATGTTTGATAGTGTCTGCTGTACTATACTAAGGTAAGTTGTGAATGCATACATTTCTGCAAGCAGAAAGCTTTGTTGCTTTGTTCACAGCATTACGAGATCTCTTCCCAAACATAATTGAACTGAACAGAGGTGGTTTCTTCCTAGGTGTTGGGGGCAAAGCTGGGTGATCAAATGGACTAATATCAACAACTAGGCAGGTTGTATCATCCTTCAGGCCTCTTGACCTGAGAGCTTCCTAAACAGTCGAACAAACAGGAATTAAAAACTACAAAAGTCAGATCCTCAAGCTGGTTAAGAAGAGAGCTTGTTACTAGATTATGCAGTCAATGCAGCAGGTATCTCTTTCCTTCCATGGCACCATTCTTGAAAGAAAATTTTAATTTATGGGTATTTTCATATTTAGCCGAAAGTTTTGAGGTACAAATTAAATATTATCCAGAATAGAAGGGTTTATAAGCAATTTGGGGATACTACGTCAGATCTATCCGTGGGATACCCAACACTTGCTCGTTATAAATTAGCTCTTACATTAAAAAATTAAAGTAAAATAAATGTTATATTTTCATAATTATCATTTTTTCAAAAATCTCCAACTGAGTAATGAGTATATTTAAACTTAAAAGAATAATTTAATAATTTTAAAACCTACACACTATTAATTGTATGCATGTGCCTGTAAACGTTTTAAAATTATTAAATTGTTCTTTTAGGATTAAATATACTCATTACTCAGTTGCAAGATTTTTGTAGAAATGATAATTAAGAAAATATAACATTTATTTTACTTTAATTTTTTAAATGTAAGAACTAATTTATAACATTTCAAAAAGGAAAGACTAATCCGACAACTAATATGGAAAGGTAGGGCTATATTATTATTATAACATTATAATATGGTAGTCCATGCCATATTTATTATAACTTTTTAAGAAAATGTATAATTAATATGGAAAGGTAGGGCTGTCCACACCATATCTTTTTATTAAAACTTTTTAAAAAAATATATAATAATATAAAAACGACAATTAATATGGAAAGGTAGGGCTATAAATACATGTATGATTGTCAAAATAGTACGTACTCATCTTCCCTTCTCGGCCTTGATAGAAAAGAATATAAAGAAGAGAAGAAATGGCTAGTCATGAGAGTTGTATCTCTCTCCTGGTTTCTCTTTTTCTTTTCAGTCAATCATTCGTCTCAGCTGACGTGTCTCTAATAAGAGCCGTTTGCAAAACCACCGAGGAATCTAAAGTTTGTGTTTCAGTTTTATCATCAGACCCTCGAAGCATCACCGCCAGTAACAAAACTAGCCTAGCGAGGATTGCCATGCAAATCACAGCAGCAAAGTGCCATGACATTTCATTATACGCCAACCAACTACTTCGTACCGCAACGGACCCTGGTTACAAGCAAGACCTGGAGGACTGTAGAGATAGTTATGACCAAGTTGAGTTTGGCATAACCGATGAAGGTCTGTCAAATTTTGATTAGGGGAGATATGGAGACGCGAGGAGATACACTGAAGATGCTTCTATTGCTTCTGAAACCTATGACGAACACGGCATAAAAGCCTTGAAGCAGATGAATACTCTCATTGGTGACTTCTCTATTGATGCAAGGACGATTGTAAAGAGCTTGTCCAAGTCATGATCATCAAATCGTATACTATTATTATTATGCCAAATTAATTAATAAACATGCTTTATTCACTTTATTGACAAAACTAATGTGTTTGCTTTTACTCCTAAAATTTTGTCAACAATATATTTTGAAGGAAAATGATATATAAAAAAATGTTTTTGCTCGTCTATAGAATAGACTTGATGTGACAAAAACTCTCTCTATTAAGGTAATTATAATAACTGCCGTACTCATTTTCGAATCACTTATTCACACCTTCATTATTCATATTTGCTAGTCATGTGTATGGTGCATGTGGTTCCATTCGATCATTGGCAAGTCAATCTTTAAAACATGTTAGAAAAAGCATGGAAATTCTGAGAAGAAAGACTTTTTATTATTGACTAAAAATTCTTGTTATTTATTGAAATCGCTCCAAAAAAATATATTAAAAAATAAAAAAACAAAAGAAAAATCAACGTAGCATTACTCAACTTGTTTTAATTTGCTCACTTTCATATTCAAGCCAAAATAATAATTAACCGAATCCTTTCTCTTGCTCTCTTGCTCTCTTGCTCTCTTGCATGCTTCAGTTTGGACTTTGAAGTTATCCCAAAATTGTTTGTTAACGGTTCTGTCTATTTTCTAGGCTATGGGTTGCACGGCCTCTTTTTCATTTTTATTTTTTATTTTTTATTTTTTATTTTTATTTTTTTTATCCCTATTTGCTTCTTGTATAGTTTGTACAATCTCTTTTTTTAGTTATTTTTAGGGAAGCCACTCCCTTCTTTTTTCCTATTGCATTATCTCTTTTTACATAGGACAATATTTGTCTACTCACCGGTGAGTAGGGAGTTTCTACTTACTCAATAGGTGGCATAATAAAATTATGATAAGTGTTTCAAATTTTATAAAATATAAAATATAACAAAAACAGAACCAGAACGTATTTAATTCATTTTAATTGGACTTAACCGCATCTTTCTCTCCATATATATATCTATACACACTTGTACATACATAGGTACAAAATTAGCTTTTAAAGTAGAGAAAAATTAGGATTCAAGCTTCCTAAAACAATACTTTCCAAAAACAAGATCTTTCTAAAACAATATATTGTTTTTGTTCATTGGAATCGAAAGTTCAAAATAATATAAATACATATACATAAACCGTGTTATTAAAATACCCATTCACCTCCACTTCCAAAGTAATCCCCGTTCTCACTGCAACAATCCTAAGTTGGACTAAAGAAGGGCAAGAACTTTTTTTAAAAAAACACAAACCGGAAGCATTTTATGATTCTAAGAATGGTGTTTCATATCAATCACATATTTTCCACTTTGAGAAGGTAGAGAGCAAAACTAACCCCTCAAAACACTATTGCTATATCTCAATTCAATTATTTTTTTATAACTCCCATACACGTATTCTGATATTTATAGGGATAGTGATTAAGGATGTATACAGTGTACTAGAGGAAAATTGTAAAAGATACTGTGAATCCAATTAAAAATGGGTCAAACCAGTTCTAATTTTATTTTTGTTATATTTATATTTTATAAATTTTAGGACACTTGTCATAATTTTATTATACCACATATCTAGTTAGTAAAAATTGCCTACTCACTGGTGAGTAGGCAAGTATTGTCCTTTTACATAATACCATAACTAATGAAATTTTTTACTCTCTTTTTGTATTTTTTTACGACAAATAAAATAATTTATTCAACAGAAAAACAACTATCGGAAATAAAATGAAGTGTTAATTTCAGTAACACCCCTTTAAGTTTGGTCAAATATCACATTAAAACAATTTTTGAAAATAACTATTACTCACACCCCAAATTATTTTTCCGTCTCTAACATCCTTAAAAAGATGTGAATATTTATACCCTCATTTCTTTATTATATATCTTAATCCTAATATATTAGAAACTTGAAAGGTCTAGATTGACCTTCTCACTCCCTCACACACACTGAACTTTACCCATGAAAAACAAGTGATAACTAATTTGCAGTATCTACCCCTGCCTTGGCTCCACCAAGTGTAATATATATAGCATTTTTTTTTATAGTAATTTTACATATATATGTGAGAAAATCTATATAATATCCCTCTAAAATTTTTATTTTGATTTTTTTTTCCTTCCCTAAATTTTTCTTTTGATTTAAGAAAATAATTAAAATCTCAAAATGGGTGGACCCATTAAATGTCTCTTGAAAGTCATTCAATTTTGGACTTATTCAAAACAAAACTTTTAAAAGGAAAGAGCAAATTGGGACATGTATCTTTTGCCTGTCTAATAAAGTAGTATAATAAATTTTGTTGTCTTAAAAAGTGTGAAGTGTAGAATTGGACCATTATGACGGGGCACAGATGATAACATAATAATATGGTAGTCCACACCATATCTTTTATTATTATAACTTTTTAAGAAAATATATAACTAATATAAAAATGACAATTAATATGGAAAAGTAGGGCTATAAATACATGTATGATTGTCAAAATATTACGTACTCATCTTCCCTTCTCGACCCAGGTAGAAAAGAAGAGAAGTCGAAATGGCGAGTCATGAGAGCTGTATCTATCTCCTGATGGTTTCTCTTTTTCTTTTCAGTCAATCCTTCGTCTCAGCTGACATGTCCTTAATAAGAGCCATTTGCAAAACCACCCCGTATTCCAATGTTTGCTTTTTAGTTTTATCATCAGACCCTCGAAGCATCACCGCTAGTAACAAAACCAGCCTAGCGAGGATTGCCATGCAAATCACAGCAGCAAAGTGCCATGACATTTCTTTATACGCCAGCCAACTGCTTCGTAACGCAACTGACCCTGGTTACAAGCAAGACTTGGAGGACTGTAGAGATAGTTATGACCAAGTTGAGTTTGGAATAACCCAAGACGGTCTGCCAAAATTTGATCAGGGGAGATATGGAGACGCGGGTAGAGACACTCAAGATGCTGCTATTGCGTCTGAAACCTGCGACGAACACGGCATAAAAGCCTTGGAGCAGATGAATACTCTCATCAGTGACTTCTCTATTGATGCAAAGACGATTGTAAATAGCTTGTCCAAGTCATGATCATCAAATCATATACTATTATTATTATTATACCGAATAAATTAATAAACATGCTTTATTGACAAAACTACTGTGTTTGCTTTTACTCCTAAAATTTTGTCAACAATATATTTTCAAGGAAAATGATATAAAAATATGTTTTTGCTAGTCTATACAGTAGACTTGATGTGACAAAAACTCTATCTATTAAGGTAATTATAAAAACTGCCGTACTCATTTTCGAATCACACCTTCATTATTCATATTTGCTAGTTATGTGTATGGTGTATGTGCAGCATGTGGTTCAATTATTGGCAAGTCAAACTTTAAAACTTGTTTGAAAAAACATGAAAATTCCGAGAAGAAAGACTTTATTATTGACTAAAAATTCTTGTTATTTACTGAAATCGCACCAAAAAAATATATAAAAATAAAAAATAAAAATAAAAGAAAAATCAACTATTTGTTGTAGCATTACTCAACTTGCCCTCTTGCATGCTTCAGTTTGGACTTTGAAGTTATCCCTAAATTGTTTGTTAACGGTTCTGCCTGTTTTCTAGCCTATGGGTTGCACGGTCTCTTTTTCATTTTCATTTTTATTTTTATTTTTTTCAATTTTTTTCAGATTTCAAACCTACTTGGTTAAGAGAATTTACAAAACAGTTTTCGGAAAACAAAAACTCATAAAACTACTTGGTTGTATGAATTTTTGAAAATAGTTTTGTAATATTTGTTATATTAATCCAGTTAACATGACACATAAAAATGATTTGAATTCTGCCTTAGGTAAAAACACAGCAGAAACTAGGTGTTATCCCAAATTTTATTCAATCCAAGATTTTGAGTAACAATTTAATTGATAGCTAGTGATTATTTCTATTTGAATCTATGTATGGAATTTGTAGTACTCTCTCAATATGAAACATCTCATTCATAGCATCCAAGGATGAAGCATGATCATGGAGACAAGATTGGACACGATAAGCTACAAATAAAGTGAGATAATTTTTATTTTTCATTTTTGAAAAATAGGATACACATACAGTTTACAACAAGGAACATGGAAATATATGTGTATAATTGTGTGTGTGTTGGATTAATACAGATATGTACACTACAAAATATATATCTATATAGGTATAAATTAAAAAGAAAAATACTTTGTATGATATACATATTACTACCATTTTCTTTTTAGAATAAATTACAAAGAAAAACACTAGTTTTGCAAAGAAGATTAAGCCTTTACATAGTTAAGTCATTGACAAGTGATCACAATAAAAGCAACACCCTAGGTTGTAATTTAGAATTTTTGTTTTGATATACTTTATGAAAAACATGAAGAAACACTTGGCTGTGCATTTTATAATTTTTTAAACTTTGATAACTTTCAATATGTTTGCAATTTATTTATTTATTTTCAAATCACATCCTTGAAGCACTACCTCAGCATTCAATTGGTTATGATTAGATAAAAATAATCTGCTAATATACGAAAGTTTTTCTTCTGTACATAATTGTTTATCTTCAAGCAACTTTTCAGTGAAAAAATGTTCGAGTATGTTTGAGACCTGCCTAAATTTTGTTTCTTCTAGAGAATGCCAGGTCGGAGGAGTAGAAAAGCCATTACTGTCCTTTCTACCCCTGCCTGTTGGGACACATTAATGGGGTTGCACTCTTGGATATTATATTTACTGGATTCTATCTTGGATAATATCATGTGAAACTTTCTAAGCTAACTAAGCCTGATTAATATCTAATGTTACAGTTATATCTAGTACCCTTTATGAAGTGTGTATTATCAATGACTTTAAATCCAAACGCATGGTCAAGGCACAATTTGCCACGAGTACCCTTTGGGATTTTTGTTGTTTTCTTCAACTAATTCATTTTTCATCTGAGGTTTTTCTTTCTTGTTATATTCTTTTTAACATTTTGGACAGATGGTTAACTAATAATTTAACTTGCTCCAACCTCTGGCCTTGGGATTCAGCTCTTCCAACTCAATATGAGTAAAATTGTCCATAACTTTGAGATTTGCACAAGTCACACCTCTGGATTCCCTTCGACTAGTGAGCCCGAGATTTGTGTAATTCAATATTCAAATTCTTCTGTTCAATTTTATGATAATTTATTTGATTTTTTATTTTCTTGTTTTTTGAAAATTTCATCTACTGCAAGACTTGATGCAGTGTTGCATGCGGATAGGTCTTGAGCAGTTATTTTTAAATGGAGGATAATTTATTTAGATTTTGTTCTTACTGATCGTTGGTACTTGTTTTTGGTTTTTAGCTCCCCTCAAGCGCATGAGCAGTTGGTGTTTTGATGAGAAACTTTTCTTACCGTCACTTTACAAGGTATTATGACCATGAATGGGTTGGTTGCTTCAAAACGTATAAAACTATTACTTATGCATAGCCATGTTTATATGATTTCTTCACTCGATTAGGTTCATTATGCAGCATTAGCTATCTGGGAATGTACTGACTGGCATGGTTTGTTATTTCACTTGCAGGTTTTGGTTTCAGTCTCTGAAAGCAGTTCCATCATTCTTTACCTCGTTTCATACAAAATTTGCACAATGCTGTATTTAAAATCTCCATTAATTTAAGCCCATTAACATTCGGTTGGATAGAGAAAGAGAAGTCCACCAACATTCGGATGGATACAGCCTATTAAATACAAGGATAGAGCAGGGAATAGGAGAAATTTTAGACTTATTTTGTGATATTTGTTAAATTGGGCTTTTAAATTCTGTAAATTTTGATTGCACTGAAGAAGAAGATGTACCAACACTTTCTACAAAGAAAAAGAAGGTTCAGTATTCTAAAGACCACAAATCTCTAAACCCTAAACTGATCAAAAACCCAAATCACTAAACTAAAAACCACAAATCCCTAAATTAAAAATCAAATTCACAACAAAATTCACCCAACCAACAAAATCCATAGTCAAATCTACAACCAAACTCATCCAAAAAACAAAATCCATAAGCAAAAACTTGCTACAGAAAAATACAGATTTGTGTTTACCTGAACAGATGGAGCTTTAAAAAAATCTAAGCAAGAGTCTGGATGCAGGGGAGAGAAGAGCTGGAAAGTTCTGGTTTCAATTGGAATTGGAGTTTGGTTAATAACAATGGGCTGGTCTCATCGGATTTCAAGATTGATGTTTGAGCAGGCCTTTGAATTACTCTGTTGCTGAAGTTTTTCTCAGATATTTTCAATGCTGTGGATGTTTCTGGTTTGAGAGAGATTGTTGCAGAGATGCAAGCTTTAATGGACTTCAAGATCAAAAAATTTTAGAGCAGGATTTTTTAGTTCTGGTTTATTTTGTTTTTGTTTCTTCTGGTTCACTCTAGTCTAGCTTGGATTTCCTTTGCTGGTTTGAAAATGACATAGTCCATTACTTGCTTTGTACCGGAGGATGTCCTCCATGTTTTGTAATTGTACTATTCTGATTTATATATAAAACAAAAATCCCATTCAGGAAAAAAAAGAAAAGAAATTCAGCAACAAGAAGAAGCTTATATTTGTGATGGAGGATGACGAATTGAAACAAAATTGAATCAACAAGGAACCAAATGTTCAGCACATGACATTAAGGGAATCAAGGCTTAAAATTATTCAAGAAATAGCAAAACAAATAACCTATTTCTCTAACTGAATCAAGCTAAGTATCAATTGAGTGGGACCCATATCTAATTACAGTATACATTAAAGATTCTGCTTCAGAACGACGATAAGTGCACAGAGTGCATGTCGAAAATTCACTGTTCGATATACCCCTTGATTCAGCTGTAACAATAATGGGCAATCCTTCATTCTCTGGATTTCTCCCGTATATGTTGCAATTCTGGAACATGATGCCTGCGTCACCAAAGATGAAGTCTAGGGTTCCAAAGATGTTGCATTTGTAGAAAAATTTCCTGCCGGAAATCATAAACAAAGTGTCCTGGTATCCTTTGAAACTACACCTATAGAATGCATGATTTAAGCCTACACTTCTCACAGCAACTGCCTGTCCGGCATTGACTCCGGCGGAATTCACAAAGCTGATGTCTTTTGCAACAAAATGTTGTGCTTCTATATCTGCATGTACACATTAATAGACACACGTCTTGCTTCTGTATCTGCATGTACACAATATACACATGTCATGAGGTGCTTCATAAGCCTTAGGTTTGGAGTTCGAGTCCCCGATAGGTGTTCTTGGTGACTAGTCTCAGCTTGTTGAGGGTCCTAAGGATTCGTGCATTCCCGGATACCCGAGTTACCCAAAAATAAAATACAAAAAAAAAAAAAAAAAAAAAAAAAAAAAAAAAAAAAAAATAGTGTAGTATAAGTTCTTATCAATTTAATATCTGATTCGTGGATCAATGGCGCACACATTTATAAAGAAAGAGAGATGGGATAGTGATCAAATACTGACAGTGGCCAATTCGTCTGTCCCAATACCAGTGGAAGTACTCTTATTGAACTGTATCATGGTGTGGTCAATTCCATCTCCCAAGAACACGACACTATTCTTATACATTCCCACATCTACTGCTTCGTTGTAAATTCCCCGCTTGATGTGAATGATGTATGTGGCCGAAGCTGAATTAGGTATTGCAGAAACGGCTTTTGAGATGCTGCGATAGTCTCCACTCCCATCCTTTGACACCACAGATGTGGTTTTATACCCTGAAATGGAAATGGGAATTGCAAGAAACAAAATGAAACAAAGTAAACTACCGGCCATGTTGGTGGTGGAAAGCGGTGGCGACAGTGACGGAGGTGGTGGAAGGCAACAGCAGAGTTGGGAGTGATGGAAGGGAGCGATGGTATAGAAGGTGGTGGAAGTGAAGTGATGGTTTACTGCTTTAAAACAAATAAGAAAAAAATTTCTGCTTTAAAATATATATGTAATTTCCATATTACTACTCTGATTTTCTTCCTTATTTGTTTTCTCTTTCTTTTTCTTTTTTTCCTTTTTTTTTTTTCTACCTCGAAACAAGGGTCCAGCTAACCCCAAAAATTAAATGTGGTACAAAGAGAGTATAATACTAAAGATGTTAAAAAGTTATAATGTCTAGGATGGAACACTTAATGTGTGGTTCAAAGAGAGTTTAAAAGTAAATTAGCAGTAAAAATTATAACTAAATTAGCTGTAAATATTTGTTATTTCTTAATGAGATTAAGGTACCAAGTGTTACATCCTTATTAGTCCATCATTTTTGTTTGTATTTTTCAAATTAATATAATTGAAAAGTCAAAACAAAATAAATGTTATAGTTTTGTAATTAGTCTTAACTTTTCAAAAAGAATTAGCATAATGAATGCAATTTAATATTCGTATTTTGAATTATTGTTTAAGTGACGTGACTACGTCCTAATTAAAAGGACACATATGCATTGAAAAACGAAAAACAAAAATTCCAAAAACTCAAATACGGACCACAAAGTCTAGAAGCAGTTATTCATTCCATTTTGGGTAAATTTGTGGGTTTAATTCTAAAAATTTTGGATTTTTCTTTTCTTAATTTTTTTTTTTTCAGACCCACTGCGGCTCCTCTGTTTTGTCAGGGTACTTTTGTCTTTTCATTTTTTCGATCAAGTCTCTTGCTGGGTTGTCTTTAATTACACTAAATTCATAGTCAATAATTTAGAGGTTTTTTTTTGGCACTTTACCCAAAAGTGGGCAACGCACGGGTCACAGTTAAATAGTTTTGACTCATGTGGCCCACTATTTGCTAGTCATAGGATTGAGAATAGGGTGATACAGCTAGCAGAGTGAGCACAAACAAAGATAAAGAGTCAGGACTTACAGCAGGGAAGAAGAATGAATAGACTAACAACTTATTGGTCTTACTAAACTGAAAGAGACTTTTAACCCCCCATATTTCACTCTAGTATATGTTTCGCTACATGCCAAGCCACTTTGTAAATCTATATTTGGACATGGACCACATGGTGTTCAATTTTTATGCAAACAAATTGATGTATGTCCATTATGTTTTGGAGGCCACCAATATAAACTTGAATTTTTTTTTTTTTTTTTTTTCGATAAATAACTATGATGGTTGTTAATAAATTGAATTAATTTTATCGATACTTTTTAACTTTGGTCAATTATCACATTAAAAAACTTTTTAAAAATTATTATCACTCACATTACAAATTTTTGGTGTATTTTTCACTCACATTCTAAAAATTAATTTTCAGTTGTGTAGAACCACTTTTTACTTGTAAAAAAACATTATTATCCCATTTAACTTTGGCTTGTCTTACTAAAAGATTGTTTGATGTTTAAGAAGACACATTTCTACATACCCCTCTCTTTCACCTTTTCCTACTGCCTCTGTCTTTCCATCAAATAATGGGCAAAATTAATTGACTAACAAAATGCAAACCAAACATGTCATAAGTAAGTATTTCCATAAACAAAGTGACTTGGGACTTGAGTGGGTATAACATTAGTCCCACTCGAAAATTTTACACTGGTTTTTTTTTTTTTGTAAAATTAAATTAAAATTAAATGATTTATAGTATTATAGAAAACAACCCAATTTTAAAACGTTTCCTTTAAAGTAAAAAATTAGAATAATTGACTTTTTTTTTTTAAGAAACAAAATAATAAATAATTTAAGATATTGAGTTCTTTCTAAATTATAATATGAATTAATATTATTAAATCTCACAATTTTAAATAAGCCAAAGTCCCAAAAAAAAAAAAAAAAAAAAAAAAAAAAAAAAAAAAGGTCCCAAAAAATTCCTACTTTGTTGCATATACCAGGAACAGAACCAGAACTTTTATGTGAGAGGGAGAGGGAGCAACCTTTAACGAAAAATGTTGAGGGGAAATTCAAAATTTTGTAAGTATATAATTTAAAAATGGATGCAAATTATATACTTTAACATTTTCTTTTTGTAATGTTTATATATTAGTAGGTTTATTAAAATTTGGAACAAAAGAGGATTCCCAAAAATGTGAAACCTATGTTGTTTGGCGTTAACTTTTAATTTTTTTAAACTTTATATAGAAATATTTTTATATTTATATAATTCCCTCTAAAATTTGATATGTACTATATATATATATATATAATTTGATTATTATTTGATATTATAATTTTAATTAAAAAAATTATTAATTATTACTATCAAAATTATTTTAGGGGTTGTTATTATTTCAAAATTTAGTTTGCGTAATTGTGTTACTAATTATTATTCTTTAAATATGACTTATAATTTGTTTTTATTTGTAACCCAAATCAATGAAATCACATATTCACTCCTATTATGGATTTTTATTTTTATTTTTTTTACATGTGTGATATATTAAAAACCTTAAGTAACTGTGTTATTTATTTATTTATTTTTTATTCTTGATTCATTGAATAAGATTTTTTTTAAGTGTATTTAATTAAATGAACTCAATTTTGAAATAGCATTCAAAATTCTGAAAAATTCGTTAGAAATGTACTAAATAGAAATATAATGAATCAATATTATAATTTTTATATATATTGTTTTGATTCAAATTATATATATATATTATTGCCATTGAAGATTGCCCCATGGAAGGAAATTCTTCCTTGCTACGCCACTGGTACAGGCTTGTTGAAATGAGATGGGTTTATCGAGACTTGAGTTAGGTGGAACATTTACTCCATATCATCCTTGGAACACTGGTGAATCCAAACATACACATAAACAACGTATACACGTGGCTCTAGGAGAAAGAACACATGTAAAAGAATTCAGATTTAATGCGAAGTTATAAGCCGAATCTCCGGTATTAATTCTAAAACTCTTTCAATTACCAATAAACATGATTAATCAACTTATTAATTTAATCACATTCATTAATTGTCTTTTTTTTTTTTTTTTTTTGCTAATTTAACCACCAAAGAGAGTATTATTCACAGTCACATAAGTGACACGGTTCCACCTTTAATTGGTTGAAAATTTAATTATAAAAGTTGTAATTAATTCTATTGTACTTATACATTTTATTTATGCTCATCACAATGGTTTCTCACTGTTTTTCTCAAAAAAAAAATTTCTCAATTCTTTACTTTTCTTTGTTCACACACACACACACACATATATATAATACTTAACCATATTGTGAATAGATTAGAAAATTTTACATATTAACTAAAACTCAAATTTTATAATATTATTCTAATTAAAACTCAATCATAATATTATTTCAATTAAATTACATAAAACCCAATTAAAAAATGAACATATATATATATACAAGACAATTGAACCCAAAAAAAAAATTAGAGTAAAGAATGAAGTGTAGCTATATATATCCAGGAAAGAAAAAAATAATAATAATAAAGTTGAATATAGGTACAAAAGAAAGAAGGTTATTAGGTATACTCATTATAGAAAAGAAACGAAATAATTTAGAAGGGTAATTTGGTTCTAAAAGTTAAAATTTTATAGTTCCAAAAATATATAAACGTGTATAACTGATTTTTCAAAATTACAAAATCAACCAATGTGAGTCGCACAGTGAATAACACTCTTCCACCAAAATATTAGAAATGTATAGCTTTACAAAAATTTAAGGTTTGCGAATCAAAATTTGATAATACATATACATAATTTGCAATTTCAAATAAAATTTAATGTATATTTAATAAAAAAAAAATATTATACATTTGACATAAATTAAATATAAAGGTTACTCCAGCAATACATGTAGTTTACATTTCGCAAATATACAAATTGATTTGTGAATTTTCAAATTTTATTAATTTGTAAATTTGGAGAGAGATACAAGTTTAAATAAGAGAATTAGAGTCATTTCCGTCTAACAATACCTCAAAAGTAAAAATTTAGATACAAATTATCAATGCAAAAAAATTATTTTATATTTTTCACAAGCAATGATCAATGCAAATCAAACGGTACCGATTGCTAAACCAAGTTCAACAAGAAGATGAGATAACATGGCAAAATGAAATATCCTTAGATATTCAGTACGATCATATAATATAAATCTACCAAGAAAAAGCGTCATGTAGTATGATTACAATGCTTAATTATTTTGCTTCGTATATGAAGATGCAATAAATTTTCTCTCTCTAAATAGACAGAGTTTTATTACACTTCAAAAATTTTCCATCCTTTTTTCCTTCATTTTTCACCTATTTATAGATTGTTTACAATATTCTAGAAGATTCCTCACTAACTTTATCCATTAGGCCCATCATCGAGGCTTTTGTACCCATTGATCCATTTGTCATTCAGGCCCTCATCTTCACTCTTCGGCATTGGGCTTGTCTTATGACAACTTGATTTGGGCCCATGTCATTTGCTTGGCCTATTCTTCATCATGTGGGTTAGATCCGGCTCACATCGTCTTTGGGATCCTCATCTGCCCCCATAATCACTCCCTTATTAATTAGGGTGCGATTATTAATAGATCTAATGATGACTTTGACGGCTAATGATGATTCGACGGCTCGAGACGATCACGTGGGGCATTGAGCTGTCGGCCTCGGAATTAATGTCTTTGAAATTTAAATCTTCTTAACTCCCTGACGTCTCGGTTAATGGGATCACTTCCTCTTTATAAACCACTCTTCATATCCACATCTTCTCTTGTTTTACCCCCCACAAATCATTGTCAATCGATTTCAGTTTGTCCTCTTAAGGCAACTCGGATTTTTCTAGTCAATCCAAATATTCTCCGGCGAATCCAGTGAGAGGCTCTTCTCTCTCAATTCTTTTACAACA